CCCCCCCCCCCCCCCCCCCCCCAGCCTCCCTCCCGGCTGCAACTCAAGCTCGAAGTGGGAGTCGGAGTCCTCCCGGCGTATAAGACGACCCCCCCACTTGGAGGCATGTTTTTCAGGGCAAAAAAGTCGTCTTATACGCCGGCAAATACGGTAGTTATGGGGATTCCAGTCTGTATTGCCTACAAATGTTATTCTTAAAATCAAATACATTTTAATAAGTAACCGAATTAAAATGTGGAATATTCATTGAATAGAGGCATAAATTCTAAACATATGATTATGGCAATAATATTAGCAACAAAGGGTGGCATATTATAACAGCATAGCAAAGTGGGGGGAATAACAATACTCTTCAGAAGGAGGGAAATGGAAGCATTGTCTTATGAAGTGGCTCTGAAAGTTTGCATAGACCTGGGATTTGGCATTCACATCTGAAGTGGGAAGGTTGCTTAGGGTATGTGGGGGGGAGGGACTCATCATAACTGTTGGCACCTTCTTAAGAAGTTGAACCATTTTCTGGTTTTGCTACATGACAGCACAGTCCTTGGAAAATAAAGGAGTTGATGATAGTAGAGCCTGGCAGATTGCTTCCTTGACTATTCACAAAAAAAGTTCATTTCTGACACCAGAAAATAAGTGGAGGGAGGTTTGGTCCTTTAAAACAAATCAATTTATTTCAGAGTTGTCAGCAGTATATGGCCAATGAATTCAAGATGTTGGCCTTGACGGTGTGATTGATTTGTTCTTTAAGTGTATTGCATGCAGACATCCTGCCCTCTTTTCTTTATCCTTCTTTGAATAAGTCTGAGTAGGAAGGAGTGAAAAGAAAGTGTTGGATTAGAGAGCTGCCAAAGGGTTTTCCACTCCTGGACAGGAAAATAATGATAGACTGAATAAGTATATAATACTGTTGTAATACATGTATTAAATATGTTTTTCAGTTGTATAAAGATATTGTTCTGATAGATAAATGCAGTTCACTTAATGGCATTCCTTATGACTACTGAATTCAGTGTTTGTTGTATCAATCAGCAGGTTGATTGAAATATAATGATTACCATGTGACAATAGTATACCATAGTATAACATATACCAAGTGTATAACTATGACTGTGGAAATCCACTTTTTCTCTTTTAGGTTAAAAAGGATCCTCATACTCATTGGTGCACATCTTTCTAATTACACCAAAATTTCTTTGGCATGCAATTTTGAAATGTTACTTCCTCTCGCTGACCTTCATTTCCAAAAGTAATTGTTCATTAGTGAGAATATAATCTCTTTCACTGTTCTTTCTTCCTAGTTAAATATGACCTTAATAATCCTGCAAAACACGCCAAATTAGACATTCTCAATAACCTTGCCACTGGACTGGTGTTTATTATAGTCGTTGTCAATATATTTATCACTGCTTTTGGAGTTCAGAAGCCGTCTCTCCCAGAAAAGAAGGGATAGAAAGGTAAGCTCCAGTTTAGAATAGAGTATCATAAAAGTCTGGAAAAAAAGTCTGTTTCTTCTTGTAGAGCAGGGGTGTCAAACTCAAGGCTCATGGGCCGGATCTGGCCTGTGGTGTACTTAGATCTGGCCTGTGGGGCCACCCTGGAAACAATGAAGGACCAGCCCGCAAGGCCTCTGCCAGAAAACATGGAACTCAGGAGTGCCAGGCCAGGCGCTGCCTCCCTGAGCTCAGTTTTTGCTGGTAGAGAGATGAAGGAGGCCATCATGGCTGAAAACGGAGCCTTGACAAGTGATGTTGAGATGGCCATGCCCCTGGCCACGCCCCCCTGGAGGTCAAACACAGCCCTGAGGCGGCACTCAATAAAATTGAGTTTGACACCCCTATTGTAGAGAAACATTTTTATAAGTCTACACCATTTCTATGTATTACAGAGTACAAGGTGTTATAGATGGGTTCAGGAGTAATACTATTCTTTATTTCATATCTGTGCCCAAGCCACAGTAGAGATTGCATTACTCTCCTTTGAAACTCCTCCTCATGAAGATCAGAATATTTTCCTTTTCATGTTCCATAAACTCTTTTTTCCATTTTTAATTAATTACAGTTAATTTAATTGCATATGGTAAAACCATGGAACAACAGCTGTTAGTCAGCATTTCATAAAATACATCTTTCTGTTTATATTTAGCCAACTATTAAGATACACAGAAAAGACTTTTTATGTTCCATATGAACATAAAAAAGGAATCAGGGCCTTCTTGCTTATGGCAGAGTGATTATAGAAGCTACTCCACCAGGACACTGAGGTGTTACTTAACATTGATGTTATTTCAGAAGATCTCCAGGGTTCCTTCCAACTCAATTATTCTGTCTCTGCTTTTTAATCTTGATTTTAAATGAGTTTTGATGGATAAGTATGTAGGTTGATAACATTAACAAATAAACTGGAATCAACTTGGCTAATTTCCCTAAACCACAACTAACTTAAACCATTGCTTGTTCAATGGTACAGATAACAACAAATCTCAGTTAGTTGAAAATGAATGCAAAGTTTTTTATTTCCATTAGACTGATGTATAAAAAGATGAGAAGGACTTTTATGAACCCAAAGCTTTCTAGCATCGTACTGAAAATACAGTCAGATTATAGAATCATTTGGAAGAAATAGTTTAGGCCACCAAGTGCTGCATTGCTCATGAGATAGAAAAAGGGTTGGAATATGAAAAATAATCAGCACCAAACTGTCTTATGGACAAGATCCAAACTTAATTGCTTAAAGCCATGCATTTCTATCAAACTGATTCTGAGAATTAAGTATGTACAAGGCAACTATGGGACAGCACTACCTCTTCTCTTGTTGTAGATTTATTTTATATCACCTTCTCTACAGAAATTGGTCTGAATATTCTGTGATGAAATAGGGAAAAAGAATTAAAGGGGTTACTTTCAATAAAAATAACCAAGCTGCAACGTCGACCCTTTTAACTGGTTTTTCATTTTTTCCTCCCAGAGACCAACATTCTTTAAAATTCTGAAGACAATTTCTGTACTTTGTGCCAGTTTCACTTGGATGAAGAAACTCAACAAGCATGTCTTTCTTTGAATTGTATTATTTTCCAGAAAGGCCATTTTATATAAATTCTTATTCTTATAAAAATAACGGGCTGCCATTTGGAGGAAAACTGAATTTAATTTGTAGCATAAGGAGTCGCAACCAAAGATGCTTGCACTGAACTTTTCACATAAACCTAATAGTATTGCTTTGGAAAAAAATTCAGTGTATATCCCAGAGACTTTCTTATGACTATTGAAGTGCAGTCCCTGTGCCTTCACAGAAATGCTGAACCAAGAAAGAGCATCTATATATGAACTCATGGACTTCGCATAGGTAGGGAAAGACCCATGTACATTTCAGCATTAAACAATAATTTTGCCTACAAGACTTTCAAATCCCAATGAATTGTGTAGACAAAAAACCCAAATTGTTCATTATTTATATACTTTCATGTGAATAATTATATCTGATAGGGTGCTATGGATAAGAAGAAAATGAATTCAATCAATGCAGAAAGTGATGGTAATGTTAGGACAAACAAACATTTATTTTACAAAGACCACTTCCCTTTAATGGCCACTGATAGTCATTCCAAGTGTTCCAAAGAGGTGGGTGTCCAACCTTTTTTTTCAAGTAGAAATATATATTGTACAATTTTGTATTATTTCATTGATGCTGTAGTCTGCTTAGAACAAATGTGATGTGTGAAGCCATGCCTTATGGCTTGTAAACCATGATTTATGTCTGAGAATATTTTGCGAACCCAGCCAGTTACTCAATAAACTATGGTTCATTCAACCATAGTCTAGCATGATGTACGACCTTACTGTGTGAACATATCACAGCTTTGTATAAAGGCATTATAATATAGTTTTGTTTATTTTTTGATTCTGAAATTGCTGTTTATTATAGCTTTTGATTAATTGTTTAAGAGATTTTATCTTTATATAATATTTGATCAGAACAATTTGCTTACCTGACTAAAACAGTGCAAAACTCTGAGCTGCATCCAAAATGTAATTTCACACAATTGCTAGGTGTGTGTGTGTGTGTGTGTGTGTGTGCTTGAGTGCATCTACTTTACCATAAACTAAGGGAACAATCAAACACATGTGTTGTCATGTGTGACAGAATAGCAATTTTATCCTCAACTCTTTCCTTTTTCCATAAGATACACCATTTTGAGTGTCTTAAAACATCTTCCAACTTTCCAAGTTACTGGCAAACAGAGTAAGTACAGGGATAATAATGTCATTTCATCCTGACATTTGTGAAGAACAGGAATATAAAAAGTATATCTCTTATTCCTTTTGTGGTGCAGTCATTCTGAAAGAATCCTAAAATGTTGCTGCAGGTTTAAATGAGTGGCATTTAAATTTAATGAATAAATAAATTTCACACACATGGTCCATCCATGGTGAATATCTTCTGCTTTAGTAAGGATTACTTCTCGCTGCAAAATCTTGATAGGTCTATCTTCTTTATATTAAAGATAGCTTGTCAACACTTGAATAGAGAAATGCCAAGATTTCCCCCATTTTTCCTGCTTCAGTGACAAAGACTCATTCTAGAATGCACCTCAGAGTGCATACCTCTTCATGGATCTTTCTAACACAATTAAAAAGTCACTGTGCATTCTTCTCTGGCCTGCACTGCTAATTTTAAAACTAAAGTAGAAATAGAAAGGCTTATCCTATGCACAAGATGAGAACCAAATTTTGATTATATCCATTTTTTCTCATTATCATTCTCTCATTAGCTTTTTTTAAAGTCAAACTATATAAGAAATAATAATTTTTAAAAAGTATTTTAATGTAACTGAGTCAGTAAATTAAAATTTTACAGAATATTATATATTATATATACTATATTTTTTTCTTTAAAAATATAGTGAATATTTTTCCTAATTTATCATTTGTGAGCACAAACTGTACTCTATTTTTAGTTACCTACAGATCTAATGTCACTAATGTGTTTTATTTTTTTTAAAATTTGATTCATTAAATATATACATTTTAAATATATAGTATATCGCACATTATTTTAGACAGAGGATAGAAGCCATTTCCTTTACCATTTCAGATGCTGTATTTTTCTATTAACAGGATTATAATCATAAGATTCTAAAGAATAAGATACTTTTTCTAGCAAGAAAATAGAGAACAAAAAAGACAGAAATTTATTTGGATATCTGTTTTATTTTCAGTGAAAATAATTGGGTTTTATTATTAATAAGAAAGATTTTCTTTTGTTTGGATATGAAAATTGATCAAAAGGTTACAGAATGTCAGTTTACAGCTACTGCCTTTATAAATCGCATGACTAGGGTTGCTTCTTCTGTATAAGAGTCAACTGTAATTCTGTACATTGTTACCGGGAAATGAATCCCACTGAATTAAGTACGGCTTGCTTCAGCAAGAGCAGGTATTTTTTGTAGATTATATTTTTTAATAAATTATATTAAAATGCAGTGTAATCAATGTCCTGCTGTTTTTCATAGTTAATGTGTGATAAAATCAAAATGTTAACTAAAAAGTACAATTGGTTTAGGCACTACAAGTGAGGAGTGTTCTAAAATAGAATATAAATTTAGGTCACAGATTTTTGCAAAATATTTTTTACGGCATACTGATTTGCTTGCTTGATGTCAGCAATAGAGTAAACTAGAAACAGCTGTGAGGGTGAGGGGTGTCAAAAAAAATGAAGAAAGGTATCCATGACTATGCAATCCAAGCCCTGTCATTGAAACTGATAAATCGACGGTAAATTAGCTGGTCTCAATCTGGCATCCTGTGCATGGTTTGGATTACAGCACATCATAAATATCTTATAAAAATTGTACTAGAGACACAACTTGTCATGATTCTGATTTCCTATTCACAGTAGAATCCTGTACTTAGATTGTTATTGCATTACACTGTTTTCATTAATTTTCTTTTCATTGCTGGTCAATAAACAATTTTGATAAAAGTGCACAGCATTTTTTATTTAGGCACCACTGATTATGATTCATTTGAAGCCTTTAAAACAAAATCTGGTGTGCACAGTAAGGATAACATCAGTTGTATATCTTAGCTATATTAGCTTTAGTGGTAAACGTCTAGGCACAGGGATTTGAATGGTTCTAACTGGCTTCCTCCCCAAGGAAATTCTCTGTAACACAGGAACACACACTTACTGGAAAGGCAACAGGCTTAAACAAAACAAATAAGTGCCAGTAATCTACTGTCATTGAAAAAACTTTATATGCCTCTCTTAAATTTCTGCAGAGCCTTGGACAATCTAAACCAGTTGTATCATCACTTGGATAGTCAATCTCAGCCAATGTGGAGATACAACGGACTTCTGCTTCTATGCTATATCTTTTAGATTTACTTTACATGTAACTCTTGATTTCACCATTCCCCAGAATCCTTTAAGGGTTGTTGTGAAGCAAGACTAGGGGAAGATTATAACATGTTGCAACCATGAGTGGTTGGATTACATGCTCTGGGGGGAAAGAGTCTGGCCCAAAGTTACCCAATGGCTTCATGGCTGAGGGTGAATTTGTATCTACCCTGTTTCTCCAACAATACGGCCTCCCCCAATAGGAAGTCCCAGCATGTTTTATAGGCATGAAATGAAATTAAGCCCCTCCCCCCAAATTAAGGCCTATATTAAAACATGCGAAATGGGGAGGAATGGTGGGGGGGCTTGCCATTAGGAAGTACTTTTGTTGCACACCTGGATATGGTGCTGCCTGCGTTGACCCCGATATGAAGTGCCCCACCAACGCCGAGGTCAACATCCAAGCCATCACCGCCCGCCCACCCAAAGATGCAAGGGGGGGAATTAAGTCACCCCTGAAAAAACAGCCTAGCCATTTTTTCAGGGCTCAAAAAAAATAAGACCCAGCCTTATTATATGAGAAACACGGTAGATTTCTCTCTGGTTTTCAACCAACATACAGCACACTACCTCTGTTGTATGAATTGACTTATTCAATAAAGCCAACTTTTAAAAGCCATGAAGCAACCCAATGTAGAAACATAACATAGTTCAAGAGAAACAAAGAGCCACCGAAGCTCTTTTAATTTTCTAACTCTCTTAGAAATCATGATTTTAACTGGATCATTTGTGGGTGCTTCCAATCAAGATATTATCCCCACTCCAATCAGCAAATTTTGACAGTCATCCTCCATTTGCAATTGGAGTTTTCCCACTATAGCACCTTCTACTCATTAAGACAGGCAGCATCAAAATCAGTTTGCCTGGAACCACCATGAAGTCTTTTGTGCATTTAATACAGAAGCCCCATTCACCTAGGTAGACTTCACTCCCAGGTAAGATTGCAATAAAATTGAAATTTAAGGGTCTCTAAGCCTCTAGGCACAGTGAGCCTCTTATTTTCTTGTACATCCTTTGGTTGTTGTTTTTTTCCTCCCAAGCATTTTATTAACTCAGTTTTTTTCAACTTGGGATTGTGTTCACGCCCTCCTCTTACCCTCTGCCTATCTCACATGTTCAGGTTTTTTCCAGTTTGAAGCAAAGTTTCCCATTCAGCAACTTTCATTTCCTTTTCCTTGGCCATTTCATGCCAGTAACACTCCCAGTTTGAATAGCAGGAAAGACTTGAATCAAGGAGCACTCTTTACTCAAAATAAAGCAAGCTCATTCTGCAAAAGGGTATATAACCTCTGTTCCATTTCCCACAAACAGATTTCACAGTTAAAAAATAATTATGACTTCTTAGAAACATGCATCATTCTGCTCATTAGGAAGAAACACACATGGCTTTTCAGTTATGGACAAATTCAACCTCTCTTCACCCCCAGAGAATATAAGAATATAACTGGTGTGTGCCTTTCAGGATTGGGACTAACTGAAGCTTCAAGAACCAGGGAGTTTGACAAGGGTGCCTGCAAGAATGGCAGGGGTCAAGAAAGCCAGAATGATGGTCACAAGCAGATGGCGGTTGAATCCCCATGTATGGTTGTAGGTGCCAGTTCTCCCTTTTCAACTCCCCCTCCCTCCCCCAGACCTTCCTGGAATAGGGGAAGTTATATTTCAAGTGAACTTTAGATGCAACAAGACTTAAGGGGTGGGGGGAAAAAAAACATAAGTTGTGAGTGCAATAAACCAGCAGAGACCATGAAATCCTTGGAAAATCAGTGTCAAGGAGCAGATCCTGAATGTGAGTTCTCCCATTTAAAGTGGATTTTTGCAAAGGTGGGGGGGCAGGGCCTTTTACTTTTTCTGTTGTTCCCATTGGAGTGATTTTTACAAGAGTGGCCAAAAGCCAAGTAAGAAGGGATAAAAATATCCTGGTTGGAATTTGGGGGATCAAGTTAGGAACCACAGGCTACATACAATAGAGACTTGATTAGATTTCATGAACAGTGATCCATACTGCATTAGATTTCATGAACAGTGATCCATACTGCATTAGATTTCATGAACAGTGATCCATACTGCAGGATGTTGTTCTCTTTGTGTTGCAGAGACCTGATGTGTCAAGGAAGCTCATATGGATAAAGGAATCCAGTAGGGATCCACCCACCCACCCACCCCCCAGTCATTCAGGATTTCGCAGGACAAAGCCATTGCTCTGACTTTTGTTTGAAAATGATTTAGAATCCATTCAGGATTTTTGTTCCTGGAGCAGCACATGAAAGGATAGACTGAATTCCATGCCATTGCTTTAAACCTATTATCCGGCCTTTACAACTCAATGTCAGATGACCAAATGTATTTAGGCAATTGTATTTCCTGATACACATTTAAGTTTTACTCCATGCTGACAGAAGTTTCAGTAAAGAACAAATCATGAATAATAAAATATTCTAAGCTTTTATTAGGCACCTTGGGACCTCCGCCCCGCTCATTATAATGCTTGCTCAGCTCTTTATAAGTGGGTGAATTAAAATGAGAACAGACTATTGCTTGACAACTTCTATCTTTATTAGCCCACAGTCTCAAGTACTGTTTTATAGTGTTAGTCTCTCATGAGCTGGTTTTAATTCCCTGAAGCACATGACCTACTATAATTTACTGGAAGAAAAAAACCCTTTGTATGGGTAAAGGCATTTAAATTATTCTATTAGCTTGGAGGTAAATGCTCTCTAAAAATGACTAGGCTGAGAAATCTGATTTTTGGACAAAAGTGGTTTTGCTTAAGAAAGAGCAATAATTAAAATCATACCCTTGAACAACTCACTCACAAATGTCTACTTTACTATTTCCATGCTCACATCTTAAGCAACATCTTGCATGGTTTATGTGGGGGGGGGGAAATACTCTGTGCTGTTGGAAACCAATTAAATGCTATTTGTTATGGTCTCTGTGATTCACACATGAGTTGTGGGATCAGGAAATGCTCTATTTTGAATCTTTGGAAGCGTAATTAACCACCCCCATCATTCAGAGCTAAGAGATGGCTCTTGAGATTGAAAACCCTGCAAGATGCTTCTATATAGTGTATCTGCCATGCTTGCTAGTTGGGAGTTTCCTGTACTGTGTGAAAAATGTCATGATGCTGCCTTTAAAAGAAAGTTTGTTGGTAGAAATACACATTTCAACAAAGCCAGGTGGGTTCAGAGCCAAAGCCATGCCATGTTTGCTTTATTACACATTCAAATAATTAATTTTGGCAGAGATCCTTCCAAAAGTGGGACCTGGCTGATACCATTGAGAAAGGACCTGGTTTGAGTTATTAAGCTTTGCTGCCATATCAACATTTGCATTGATCCAGCTGCAGAAGAGCAGAGGGTGATGTTGGAGGAACAGTTTAAGCTGCTTGTTCCTGCTGTCACTGTTTTGTTTGAAGCGGGAGAAATTTATCAATATTACAAGGGGGAAAAGGGGGAAATATTCATAAAGGGCAGCCTCCACATTTCCCAGAAAAAAGGCATTAAGTGAGAATTGAATCAGAATACAATAACCACAGAGTTGGAAGGGACGTGAGAGGTCTTCTCTAAACCATTCTGGACAAACAACTAATTAATCCTTTTTTAAAAACCTCCAGTGAAGGGAGCACCAACAACTTACAGAGCCAGCCATTCCACTGATCATTCTGTCAGGAAATTTGTCCTTAGTTCTAGATTGCATGTCTCCTTAATAAGCTTCCATCCATTATTTCTTGTCCTTTGGACTCCCTTTTCTTTGTGACAGTCACTCAAATATTGGAAGACTGCTATCAAGTCACCTCTAGTCCTTCTATTTGTTAGACTAGACCACGGGTGGCAAACTCATGGTGTGACGCTATCATGTGACGTATCACAACGTTTTCTCCCTTTGCAGAGCTGGGGTGGGTGTGGTCTGCTTGTGACGCATCTGGCCCGTGGGCCGTCAGTTTGAAATCCCTAGACTAGACATACTCATTCCTGCAGCCATTCACCATACTCCAGCCCCCTAATTGTTGCTCCTCTCTGCACTCTTTCTAGAGTCTCAATATCTTTTTTGGATCATCATGACCAAAAGTGGGTAAGGTATTGCAAATGTGGTTCTACTAACAGTATAAAACAGTACTAACACTTTACTTTGATACTATCCCTTTGTTGATGCACCTTAGGACTGTATTGGCTTTTTTGGTAGCTGCAGCAAACTGTTGGGTCATATTGAAGTGGTTATCCCATAGGTCTCCTAGAGCAGTGGTCGCCAACAGGTAGGCCGTGGCCCATTGGTGGGCCTCGAGAAAATTTTGGTGGGCCGCAGAGAAATGTCACCCCCAGAACACCCCCCAGAGTAATTAATCCAGGCTGTGCAGGAACACAAGGCTGCGCCGCCCACATGACCCACGGGAACCCTCCCTGCCCACTCACTCCTTACCCAGCAAACTTGCCAGCTAAGTTGCTATTTTTCCTTTTTCCGACCATCAGCTGTTCTGCTGTGCCGGGAGATTTAGATTAACTAGAAAGCAGAAAATTGTTGGATTTCTTGCTTTCTAGCTAATCTTTAGAACTTCGGCTCTGCTTTTAA